GGGTTTAGGGTTTAGGGAACCCTGAAGCCCCTTTGAAGGAATCCGACGGCTTGCTCCACAAGGCCAAGAGAGCTTTGCTGGGAGCCTGAGACCTTGACAACTATAAAACTATTATACCCTAAACCCTAAACCCTAAACCCTATATTGCTGTTATAAATCTTGTCAATTGTTATCAGTATTATTGCTATTATCATTGTTATGATTATTATTACTATAGTAGTTGGATGGGATTAGCGTCTTGGAGGTGCTCGACCTGTACATACTCCCTGCACCCCAAAAGCAGAAAACTTTCAGGAGGTTGGAGAAAGCTTAAAGAGCTTAAGGATCAAGGACTTAGGGTAATCACACAGCATCTTGCAGCCACCCCAAACCCTAAACCCTAAACCCTAAACCCAAACATAACTCAGTAACAGCACGGCATGTTTGCAGTCGGGTGCAGATACATGTAAACGGCCTGTGCGCCCTTCGGGGTCTCCAAGAAGTGCAGAAGAGCCGGTCATGTAGGGGCCTAAATAATTACCTATACTATTTTGGGGGTTCCTTATTCTAATTATAATTAGAATGGGTTTCCAAAACCCTATTGGAATTATTAAGGCCCCTATATTCGATCTTAGGATGCACGCAGTCGATGGGTGCGATTGTGTTGCACTCACCGCGGTCGATGTGCCGTCGCAGTCTAACTCACGTTTCCAGACAGGGGTTGCTTACCGCGTGGATTAAAAAGGGGGATATGCCGACAGGACCACGGGCTGCAGTATGAGCCCATCGAATGCATGTTTTCTTCATTGAAGGGGCATCGAGTGTCGAGATGCGGTCATTTCAGACTTTTGATTTAAGATCCTTCGGAGGGCGGCTCAGAAGTGCTATGATCACCTTTGGGGCTGTAGGGATTTATGGTTTTAGGGTTTTGGTTTTAACCCTGAACCCAAAGCCCCAAGCCGCATCTGCGATTTTAAGAAGTTGCGTCTTAGCGTTTTTGTCTGATGGCCGGTGAGGTCTACCAGGACACCCCAAATGCACCTCAAACAGAGCCCCTATGGTCCTTCATGGTGTGTAAATAGGACCTTGCTAGAGCCTTCACAGTGGGCCGTCCTACTGGGTATTTACTGTAGGGCACTGCAGGGCCTTAGTAGAGCCTTTGCTATGGTCCTCCGTAGTGGGTATTCAGGGGCTAGCTAGGCGATAAGGTTTAGGTCCCTAAGTGTTGCGTGGTCGAGGGTTTAGAGGCCTGCGCCTTGAGCCCAAGTCCCAACTAAACCTATCAAGCCCTGAACCCTAAACCTTTAACCCATGCTGCCTTGAAGGCAGCATCCCAAAGCTGTACTCCAAAGATCTTTGAGGCAGAACTCACCACTCCCCTGGAGCAAAGTCAGAAATGCAAATACAAAAACCCTAAACTCCAAATCCAAAGCCCCCAACCCTGAACCGAAATCCTAAACCCTAAGCCCTTAACCCTATCAAATCAGGAGCCCCGAAACCCCAGCATGCCCCAGCTATCGCCCCTTAAAGCTTTCAAGGCAGGGTGCGAGATTCCTGCTGGCCCTAAGCGGTTTTAGGTTTCGGGTTTAGGGTAAGCCACTAGGGCCGAAGCCGTAAGGCAGGGTGTGATATTCCTGGTGGATCCTTACATCCACCTGCGACGTGGCTATGACAGACCGGAGATGCCTGGCCTTATTAGGGCTCTGTTTTGTTTGGGGTGTTTAGATCTCAGGAATTATAGCATAGTAGTTAAACCATTGTTCAGAATTCCAGTCAATTTCGGGGCCCGCGCTGGGTTTAGAGCTTATAGGACTTAGCTTCGGGAGTGTAACAACCCCCCCCTCTCTCCCCCCCATGGTCCCAGAGCCTCATACTTTCTGCTGAAACGCGAAACTCATCCTCCATAAATCAACAACCCGACTCCCTGCACCCAACGCGCATGTGCGCACGAATGTAGGAACTTGATTATGGAGTTCATGATCATTACTACTATTGTTATGACTAGCAGGCTTTTTTCTGATGATCATGGTTATGACTATGATTATGAACATTGTTGTGATTATGGTGATAATTACGATTATCCCTATTGTTATCATGTCTACTATTAGTGTTACTCGTACTATTATTGCGACTATTATCACAGAACAGCTCCCCAGTTCTAGCGAAGCTCCTTTCTGCATGCTATGATCTGGAGGGCAAGGGTCAAACCCTAAACCCTAAACCCTAAACCCTCAACCAATAGGCCTTCCGCCTTGAACCCTGAATGGTGGTGCCAGTTAAGCTCCGTGGGAGGGAGGCCCTGGAAGAGCTTTGACTCATTAGGCTTAGGGGATATGGAGGCTCTAAACCCTACCTTAACCCCAAGGAACCTACCTTTTCAGGGTTCTTTACTATAGTTTCTTTATATAAGTCCTTAAAAAGGTAGGTTCTTTGGGGTTAAGGTAAACCCTAAAAGCCCCAAACACTACAGGCTTTAGCATTCATTGAAGAGTGGTTTAGGGCTCCAGAGCTCAGGTTCTGGAACCCCCAGTCCTGCATTCCCCAAGGTTCCGCAGTATCCGTTTTGGTCGTTCTCTAAACTAGTGTTTCGGCTGCAGGTTTTATTAGGGTTTAGGGTTTAGGGTTTTGGTTGAGGGTTTAGGGTTTAGGGTTTAGGGTTTAGGGTTCGGTGTTTTTTAGGGTTTAGGGTTTTAGGGTCCTTTCTAGAGGGGTGCCGCATTATATCGGGGACCTAAAAGGGGACCCTAATGAGAAGTACCCATTTGGGGAAGATTGAATTTCCCAAGCCATAATACTAGTTCCTACTATAAAGACCAGACTTTCTAGGATATAGGTACTTAGGACCCTTTGGGATTCGTCCTGACTCCGATCTCTCATAGGTGCTGCGCCCCCAAACTGTGCAGCTGGGTTGGAGTGGTTACCTTCGGTACCGAAGGCCCAGCATGATACAGATCCTGCCCAGTATCCCTAAGGGCCCAAGTACCTAATAGTCATATACTCTCCCAAATAGTAACTCTCCGAAAGCAGAGTACCTGATTATTGGGTCCTTTGGACCCTTGGGGTATGACTTCAGGGGTACATCTCGCCTGGAGGGTTGAGGGTTTCGGGTTTAACCCTAAGCCCTAAACCGTTTTTGGAGGCCTGAGCATGAGGCCTTCCTAAGTTTCTTTAGGCAAACCCTAAACCCTTAACGCAAGGAACGTGGACGACAGCTCCCAGCAGCGAAATTTCGAGAACTTGCGTTCCTTGTCCTGAACCCGCCTGAAACCCTTAAGCCTTTTTGGGGTATTCTCATCCCTATTTACCCTAAACCCAAAACCCTAAACTCACAATTTAACCATCAGTTTCCGTTGGATACTGGACAAGTATGCAGGGCAACAGAGAGGAAACCTTAGAACTCGAAGTACTCCAGCCCTAAATTGCTTTAGGGTTTATAGGTTTTAGGGCTCTATAAGGGTTCTATAAGGG